GTGCAAGAGAATTACGAACAAATGAATTATGGTGGCACGGACCGAGCTGGCTTAGAAAAGAAAATATTTTATACGAGAAGAAAGACATTCCATCAACAGAATTAGAAATCAAGAAAAATGATATCAAGGCACTACATGTTTCAGATAAAGTTTCTATATGGGAAAGATTTTCTAACTTAAATAAACTAAAAAGAGTCTTAGCATACTGCCGGATAATGAAGTTTAAGAAAGGAGAGGAGAAATCTTCTTATTTAACTACTGAAGAATTGAAAATCGTTATGAACAGATTTATATTACACTATCAGGATATACACTTTAGAGAAGAAATTCAAGATTTGAAGCGGAACAATAAAGTGAAAAGGAGAAGTAAACTGATTACCTTAGATCCTTCTATTGATAGAGATGGCATATTAAGAGTAGGAGGCAGGTTAAATGAAGTCAGTTTCATATTCATATTCAGAAACATAAATCTTCTTACGAGGTGGCAACTTTTACAAAGGATGATGTCCCAGTTTTGGAAATGTTGGCAGTTAGAGTACTTGCATACAATGCAACAAAGATACATATTTTTAGATTATTCCTCACGGTGGCCGGTCTTTAATGGTTTTAAAGACAAAGGTCTTTGGTGGCCGGTATGTCCAAGGAGTTTCAATACTTTAAGTCAGGCCACATAGAAAAGAAGAAATAATTTAATCATTTAAATTTGTAAAAATTTTATTCGTTTGTCTTTTTCTGTTCATATTCAACAATACACGTTTATTTTCGAAAAGAGTGAATTTTATTTTATCTTTCTAACACACTTTGATATATGTAGGTATGCTATTTATTAATTTCTAAATGATTGCAACAACATTGGCGATTTAGCGTGAGAACTGTAAAGCTAGTTTACTACGAAACAAATAAATTTGTTTATTTTAGTCTTTAACGTAGATGGAATAACGACGAGAATAGTTTGCAGTTTAATTTTATTGTTTCAGCCGTCGGTGGCGCCGCGCCAGATGGAAAAATAATGTAACTCAAGAAATTGCCGGAACGAACGCGTCGTTAACAACAGCTCGTTCCGTTCGTTCAGATATTTCTGAAACATTCAATTAAATATTTATACAAAAAATCGACTCATGTACGTGTAAGTAATATAATAAGATATCGCGATAAAGAAATTTTTAAATTAGTAGTCAAATGTTAGGCGGGTAATTCATAAAACCTTCTCAAAATAAATGTTATAAGTCAAAGATGGAATATATGACATTGAATTGTTATTGAAGCGAGGAGAAATTGTTTCCAATTACATACATATAGAAACGCAAAGCTGCAGGAGATGAAGACTTGTTCACATGTTGATGTTGAGAATGTTCCTTGATTGTGGTGGTGTGGCGGTGGTGGCTGCAGTTTGTGCAGAGCATTCTCCGCGACCATCGAACATCAATTAGTAGTACTAACACAAACTGATTCCTTACTGATTAATGTTCACAAAGTGTGTATGTAAATAAAATAACTTTTATATAAAAAAATTATATTAAAATTTGTATTTGCGGTTAACAAAACAATTTACAATTATTTACAAGGAGTGAGCAGTTACACTTTATATAATAATTTAATGGTAATAAAGTTAAAACTAAAGCTCGATGTTTTAAACAACGATCTTGATATTTTCTCGCTAAATACGTCAGCTTATCCGATAACTAGCAGTTCACAGTCAATATGTCGCCCATTCACGTACCAAATAAATACTACACACGCACTTATAACTTTTAATAACAAAGTTTGACTCACACAAATCTATCATATTTGGCATTCTTTATTCGTAGTCGTGCACTATGTCACGCTAAAACACAACACTTGGTAAGAAAAACGTGTAAGGTGTATGGAAAGTGGCGGAGTGTGGAGGGGAGTGTGCAGCCAGCAGGAGGCTGGGGGCAGGAGGCAGACGGGGCGCGGGGCGAAGAGGGCAGGGCGCAGGGGGCAGGCGGGGCG